GCCAGCGATTCGAAAATGAAATCATAAAACGTAAACGTCGCACCAAATCTTCCTCAAACACTCTATGTTGTCTTGTTCAAGTGAATTTGAATATAAGCAACTGATATTCCTAATGTGGGTGTGATTATCTGCGGCCAATGCCTATGTTCATATGGGGTCTTATAATTTTTAAAAGATATCTCTGTGGCACGGAGCACTATCTAGCCCAGCTATTTGTATAACCAAGTAGTTTACATTGCATTGGACTTTAACTGGGCGGAAATGACAAATAAATGAATGCTCCAGAATTGTGTCACCCAATCGATTGGCAACCGATCAATCGGCCTGCCAGCTAGGCTTGTGTTAAAAATTATATTTTCAGGTGATCATCCTAGGTGAAATTTGAATTGAAATAAATTGGTTTCGAAATAAATTGGTTTAACGCTCTACAATTTGATATGTGTCAGCATTTTTAGATACAATTTTTTATTTATGATAAAAGCTGAAGAGGTAGCCTTTCCTTTGGCCCTTAAAACCCAGCCCATCCTTAACTGTCTGATCCTCAGCAGCAATTTACGATGCGCTCCGAACAATTCAAATTCTAACAAACTGTACATCACGCGTTGACATCGTTATGACCCGATGAGATCGGATGAGACTAGCTCGAATGAGATCGGTTCAGGGGTTCATGCATATGTCCGGTATGCATACAATGAGATTAAACCGCAGTTTATCACATTGCTCACATCAAACGTTCATAAACTGTTTTGTCTTCTGTCACAGGATCTTCTTTGAATTGCCACAGCTTCCCCTGGCGATCGATCGTTTGGCTGTTTCCATTTTTGATTGATCGCTTCATACGTTTCCCAAAGAAATGGGAGTACAAAATGTAAATCGCTCTGTGCCAGAAATGGTTAAAGAGCATGAAAGGGCCAAGAAGACATTGGCATCGATCATCATTTGGCGGTTTGACGATCAGCACGTCGACGATGATAATCAAATCGGAGAAGTCTGATCAAGATCGGGACGAAACGGCATGACATTGGCAACCATCATAATTTCACCTGTGCTGTGTTCTGTACTGTACTGTCTTGTCCTGTCCTGTCCTTTCCCTTTAGATGTCTCGTCGTTTTTTCGGGGACCCGGGAACGGATCTACCTACGCTGCGATCGGCGATCGGCAATCGATGCATAATTAAATTTAAACAAATCAAACTGCCAGTACAGCAAAGGAAACAGAAATCAAGTTGTACATTGAGACCACCAGCAGTTCGAGTGGTTGGCGCAAGTGAAATAATTTGCTGGGTCCACGATCGATTCATTCCAGATCAACCTACACAATCGGCGAACGAAGAAGCTGCTGTTGGAGGAAAACAGCAAGTACAATCCGAGTTTTTTCAAGCCTTTCACACCGATAATAAAAACAGTACGATATGTTCAATTAGATGTTCTCAGTGTGTAGTCCGCTTTACGCTGTGCAAATGCAAATACAAATATGTATATTTGTATATTATTTTTATTAATATTTTATTAAGTCTACATCGTGGCGATCAGTACTGATCATTATGAGTCGAAGTTTTTTTCTGTGTAGACTGTCAAACTCGTAGGACGACTACGTCTTTCGGTGGCTGTCTCCGCTGATCGTTTAATCTAGCGCTAAAGATCAAGCGACCTCGTCGGTCGTCCCACGTTGCCAGGGAGTCCAAAGCAAAATGATTGAATTGTGTCGGGGTTGCAGCCACAAGATTGCCAGGCACTGATATTAATTCTGGGCTCCTCTGATTCAGTTCGGAATTGCATTCGGTTGGACTTGGTAATGGGGATTGCAAAAGTACGGGCCAGAATCGCAGAATTGGGGTTTGTATGCAAAGCAATGAGCGCGGCAGCCGATCTTTTGCATAATGTTGCCTCAATCGCATGCAAATCGCATATATCTGTGCCTTTGACTTTGAGTCCTGTTTCCGATCGCTGTCGCAGACTTTCACAGTTTTATAACAAATTTGATTGAGCCCATGCCTCGGCTTCTTTTCGTCTCCCGGCTGGACGCTGCAAATGTTTATGAATTGATTTTTGATTGCAGTCTTCTACTTTACCGCAATATGCATATAAGATTGATTTGGGGATTTCGATTGGAACATGGGAGCGTACTGTTAATACGACTGGCCATTTTCCAGCTTTTCAGATCTGCATACATTATTCGCTTGCCTGGCCATGCGATCCCGTACTACTGATTATTTGCAACTGCAACTGACTGCAATTAGGACACACGTGCGTGTTCAAAAATAACTATGGATGTCCGGTCCAAGATCAAAGGATCGATGCCCAATGATTAAGTCATCGGCTGCAGCATTTTTCTACTATTATTTATGCCGCTGACTTGCGCACCCAAAGACCTGCGACTTTAGTTTTAACTGTTAGTATTTTGGATTGAAATCGATAAAAATTGTATTTTATATGTGCTTATTAAACCATGTTGTTATTAATGCGTTGTATTTCATAATCATATAGTTGTTCCCCTGTGAAGAGGAATTCGTAAGTCAAGTTATTAATCTGAATCGCGGGATCATTGGTCCGGTCCAATCGCTCTTCACGTGTCCCACATTTGTTTGCTACAATCTTCAAACTTGTCCTCTATCTGATGGACACTTTGGATGCGATAGTTCCACATCCACAACCACATCCACATCACAATCGGGCAGGGATCTCCTATCTGGCTGGCTTATTTCCAAGCTCATTGCCGGCTGATAAACTTGCATGTAGACGTCAAAGATATGAATGAGTGTCTCCCTCTAGAAGAGGAGGCTTAAATCGATTTCTTATGTTGCCGCACTTATAAAAAGGGGAGCCACATGTGAGGAGGAAAGCAGCCGTGAAGCCGCTAACTTTAAGATTAGCCAAGTGCCAAGTTGGTGTGGCTGGTTAATTTCGTTATTAATATATGCGAACGGCTATAAGATGATGTAAGATATTCGAGCCGATAAATAATTGCAACAGATCGATGAACTCCACTCCACTCCACTCAGTAACTTTGCGATAAGGAGACTGGCAGCGAACGTGCAACTTTATTAGAGCCTTTCAACACGATCCCAGCAGATAGTGGTACGATTCGATTTCACTGCTTCTGCTGCTGCCAAAAGACATTAACAAACTGGCCAGAAGATCAAGCGATCTGCAGATCAGTGCAATTAAAATGTTATCGCTGTTTGTTGTTAACGTTGACGAGTCGAGAGAGTGCAAAAATCAGAAATTCAAACACTTCCTGTGGCCATGGTCTTTGTGAAGAAACGGGAACCCCATTGGGCAAGAGAAGACTACTTACTTAGTTATTTATTTTCTTTTATTTTGGAGAGGTGAACATTTATGATAAGAAATCATTGATGTGTTATATGTATTACATGTCTATAAAGTTAACGTTTGATTAATAATAATTTGTCGTTTTTCTCTTTGCTAGGCTAATAATTTATTCTGTTCTTGTGAACTTACTTCATCAAAAATATCAATTTGTTGTGTAAGAAAGAGGGTCATATATTCGGATTGCCAAGCCCTGCGCTTGTTGCTTCACGCCTTTAGCCTTTTCGCTGAAAACTTAATTTAATTAATTGCCAAACACACATTTCGCATAAAAGCGGAACGACCTTCCCTTCGAGGCGCAAACTTAAATAATTGGAACTGTGCAAATGCACGCTGAATATGGGGATATGGGGACTTGGGGCATTTAAAACTGATTCGTTTACGACCGCATTGCACTGCCTTTATGATTGGCAATTAATTAGGCCAAAACTCACGAATATGGCGCAGATCGAACGGAATCGATCTGCATCGTGCTGCCCTGCCCTGGGTTATTTGTTTTTACAGCTACCGTATATATACGGCTAAATAGCCGGTCTCGATTTGTTTGGTTAATTGATCGCAGCTGTAATAACAATAACCAGGCGCATGTTGTTTAATGTCGAGGCTCGATCCCTACGGGCATGAAATCAGTTTCTCCTTAAGAGAGTTGATCTCCGCGATTTGGACCTTGGGATTTGGAATTTCAGATTGCCCCGATTCGCCTGTCAATCGATTAATACGCGCAATTGCATTTCAATGCCGAAATTAACGCATTCGCTTATTGTTCTCCGATTGTTGTACGGTATGTGGCCATTAGCCCATAATATTAGTAGTAGTCCAGGAGGTAGGACCCTAATACAAGCAAATACTAATCCCTAACCTCTATTTTCCGCAGACGTGTGTGGGCTGCGCCAGCGCGGGATTATTTCTACAATGTTGGATGCATTTTGGCATCGCATCCAAAAATAATAGTGGGAAATAACCCGTAAAGGTTATGAGGGAACGCACAAAAAGAAATGCGTTTTTTATTGTAATATCTTACCGTCTTTGGGTTTTTGGATTGTGCCTGTGTCCTGATTATATGTAACTCCTAAGCCGAGGCCGAACGAGCGTGCCAACGAAGGACCACCCTTAAAGGTCTGGGCTCACAATTTATTGTCATCGACTCCCAAAAGAGTCCAGGTATTCCTGAGAAGGGACCTTCTTCGCTGCTCTGCATCTTGGGCACTTCATTTCAATTTTAATTAGAGCATCTCCCGATCTGCATTTCATTTTCTCTCCTTCCAGCGCATTTTTCCTAAATTTCTTGCCTTAGTAGTCGGCACCTTAGATCGTTCTGCTTTTTGATAATAATTAGATGGCAAAATGCCGCCGAACCAAAGTGCAGTGTTGATTGGTTCTCATTTTTAGTTCAGCGAGGTGTTCTTGAAAGGTCCCGCTACTGATGTCAAGGGCGGGAAATCAGCTATTAGTTAATTGGCTCAAAAGTTGTAAAGGAAAGTGTTTGATCTCTCCCCATTCCCTATTGGCGCCTTAATTGGGGTTTTTCAAGGAGGCTAGATGAAAATCATTCAAGTTTAAGTGATTTTCATTTATTTTTTGTTTATTTATTTCTTTCTTTCTTCTCTTTATTATATTTAAAAGAACTATTTCGTATATTTTAATACTAATCCTTTATTTCTTATTTTGCAGGTAACAATTTTTACAAATTTATTGTGATTCATTCGGTAAGTGATATGCTAATGTTAAACTGTTATTGGTTCTGACAAAAAGGGTACAGCAATTATCAAATTCGTATATAATGTAATGTTTTAATAGTTTGGTGCCCTTTTGTCTTAAAAGTCAAATGTATCTTATAGAACTGCCCTCGCTTTCGGCAGCTTCATGGGATTCGCTCCGGCATGGGCATGATGAATGCAAGATATGCCAGGACAAATCAAAATAAAATCGCAAATCGCCAGACCAACTAACGAGCTTTAGCGACTTCTTGTTCACGCATGCGCGGATGCTCATCAAAGTGGGCAGAAAAATTAGTTCCAAATTTTATTGGCGGGAGATGGGTGCGGAGTCTCTTTTCCAAACTTCAGTGTGAAATGAATCCCAGAAAGTTGTGTTGTTTTGCCGGAAGACAATGGTTAAACCACTTAAGTTAGGACAGCCCATTGGACAAACAGTGTTACTCCTGTGTTTTCCGCTGAAAAGTGTGAATGAGAAAGGATTGAAAAAACCACAGAAAATGTCAAAATATTTCAAAGAAAAAACGGAAGATTCGAGGGCATTTGCAGTTCCGATTCTAAATACAAAAAGGATTTTCAAACAGGAAGAGGACGGAGATCAATTGACATTACCAGGAATCCGAATATTCGAGATACTAATAGATACCAGCATAAAATTTGCCTGGCCGGCTACGTCTGGGTTGTATTTTTGTAGGTATTATTTTTAGCGTTGATGACATGGAGATGCTGGTAGAAGAAGGCCTTGATAAGTTCCATCAGAGAGTGTTCTTGAGTTCCAGGTGGTTGCACTGCACAACTGCAAATCTAAGGATGCGAGTACACATTTTGCAGCTGGCCAGCTCGTGCCAGTTTCGCTAATTGTATATAAATATTTGGCCAACAAGCAACACAGTCACCAAGGCTCAATTAGGGACTGTTAGCCTGGTGTCCTGCGTGGCTCATCCCTACATTGCAGTATCCCTGCATGCTAATAGCAGCTAAGAACTCGTAGGTATCGCGTATTCCTTGCTCATTTCAAGGTAATTTTAGGTATTTGAGGACCGAGAAATCTTGGGCGGTCCCAAATGGCATTGTTCTCGTGGACAATGTTTTGACCGCATTGCCAAACCAGAATGGCTATCTATATAGATGCCTATATCTAGCAATGACAAAGGGCAAAAAAGGGAACTCACTCCTCCGCATTGGTGGTCTCCTTTAACTGCAAACGTATACATATCCCACGATGTTTTTCCTGCTGGTCGCGTTTTATATGCGTGACATCTTATTTCTTTGACAGCAGACAGTAGGTGTCTTTATTATTTGTGGTCTTTGGGTTCGTCTGGCTTGGGCTTTTCCTCGCAAGGCAAACCATTTTTTTGTCATTTTATTTCAGTTCAATGCAACTCAACTGAATATCGTTTCAATTCAATTTACCTTGATTTTGGTGGGCGTTTGTTGATTGTTATTTAGTTTCCATTGTCCGAGCGAATTGAGATACAGATGCATTTGGTTGACATTGGCACATTTATAGTCCCGGCGCATCTGCCGCTCCCAAGTGTCTGCAATATGAAAAATATATGTATTCGTATAACCTTTGGTCCCTGGTGACCAGTGACTATTTATAATTGAGGCGTGATTGCGGTGGCAATTGGCATGTGTAGAGTAAAAGCATTCGCTTTTGCAATCGCAAATTTGTTCTGAAAGTAAGAGGAGTTGTAATGTAGTTTTAATTTAGATATATATTGACATTACGACATTTTGTTTTAAGTTTTGTAAGCTTCACTATCACTAATTCCTTATAATACAGTTATCTCGGAGGATCAATGCAAGATTAAATGTGGATATATTTTTTTAAGTGATTACCTGGGATTATCCTAAAATTGAGCATCGTTCCCTCAAAAATTATTTGGCTGATAGCTAAATTAGCTATTTCATTTTTGCGGTCTCACTTCCAAAAACGTGCTGATCTTAGGACATAAACCCATTAGGTCAAGCGTGGCCAGTAAGAGTCACAGTATTATGCGGAGAAAGCTGTTAAGCGCATTTGATACGCTTGTCGCCCAGAGGATCATAATTAATTCGCTTGGAAATGGGGGAGAGAAAGAAAGGTGTTGGAAATCTCTGATTACGCTGGCTCGCCTCGAAAATTTGTTCAAAAAGTGCAGGTTTTTAGCCCTGCCGTAATGCGAGACTCCTACAATTTGACATAAAATGCGTTGCTGGAAATGGAGTTGTTCGACGCTTATCAATAATCATTTTCTCCACGCCGCAGGGTCGTGATGTGCAATTTAAGTCGCAGGAAACAACTCAATTTTCTGTATGCGCTTCTGTGCACTTGGTCCCTTCATCTCGGCTATCACGATAATTTTTTGTGGTTTTTCTCAACGATTTAACAGAATTTCTGTGTTAGGTAGCGTAAATTGTGGCCTGATTACTAGTTTTGTTTGGACTTCCTTCCGCTTGTCTTGTATTTCAAGCATAGCCAAAGAGAAGTTGTGGTAGGTGTAGTAATTCAGGGGATCCTTTTTAAGGAGGATATATTATTATTACACTTTAAAGAAGAAATTCGATTAGAATCCTCTTCTATAAATTCAATAATTCATGTAAGTACGAATTTGCGCCGTCTTGCTGGCTTCCTTTGAATTGTATCGGATTGGAGAGCGAGCAAATCGGTTCGAATTAAGAATTAATGCGGGATGGGCTGGAGCTAATGGATGCTGTAGATGAATGAAAATCTGCCCAAGCACTTGTTCCTCTTCCAAGAACTCGCGATGGGCAACCTCAATTAAAGGACGACAACCTGCTGCGATGCCCTGAATTGAATGCTCTAAATTGGCGGAAGCATTGGGAATTGGGCGTAGCTAGTGTTTGACCCAAATGTTTTGGGCATAATTGTTCACGCCTTGGCCTCATAGAAACGCTTTGATCCTGGGCGACTTTAAGATCCGGCTGCACCATTAATAACAAGAGTTCTACCTATAATCCCCGCTATCCCTTGATACAAATCTATGTCCTATGCAAAGCGCAGCTAAATGTTGAAGCGTGTATACTACATTTGAAATGGAATCAGGTATAGCAAATTATATTTCTAAAAAGGACTAAAGTACCTGCTGTGCAGGGTCGCTGCTCGCCCGCTGTTAATCGTAATTGCCGAACTAAACTAACAAAATTAGCAGGAAAATAAACTTGATATCGGTAGGAAAATACAATTGTCTTACGCACTTTTGTCACCAGCATAGTTTGATAAGATAGTCTCGAATTATCTGGAAATCGGTTTCTAGCTACCAGAGAGATTTTAGTTTAACAAAATCATAAAATCTTGTTTTATTTTTTGATATGTCTTTCCTGTATTTTTGTAAATGCGTATCCCAGTGCTTATCTATTTAGAATTTTTTTTACAACAATTTTAATTGTTTAGATTACTTGCGTGACTGTATTATAGCATGCCATATATCTTGTCATCCTCTAAGCAGTGAATTGCTCTTTTTGGGGTGTAAAACGTAAACGCCCAGTCTTTTTTCCTTTCCTTTTCTGCCGCTCCTTTTTGGTTCATTTTACGTATGTATGTACATGTGATACATGAAATTTCGGTTGTATAAATACCGGCAGAAACGAGAGCGAAAATTTCTAAAAGGAATCGGAATCTCGACTGATCTAAGACTCTACCATTCTACCATTCGCATGGCTTTAGATGCTGTCATCATCGCATTAAAGACAGCCGACAGCTCCAAAAGATACACAGATAAAAAAGGGAGGATTTATAAAGTGCCCGAAAATATAACGTATAGCATATAACGTATAGTTCCATATAAAAAATCAGTGATTGTAAAAAATCTGCGATTGTATTATTGTCTTTTATTTTATTCGCATTTACATGTGTGGTTAGTTTTCTTAGCCCATTTTTCAAGACCTTCAGATAAAAAAGGTATTTATTTTCAAATATTTTTTGCTGTGTACGGATCTCTGTGATATTCTTAGAGTGCAACTAGTGCAACTTGGTCCGAGATGTTCCCATTCCCATTGATGTTGTACAATGAATTTCTGACTGTGCGCTGTTGCAACGCTGACAATAGCCAGTACAATGGTGACAATTTTACGTCTTAATGGACCTCAATGTGCATTACAAATTTGCTGTCTTGGGCAGCGGTTTGCGTTTGGAGTTTTCACAATACTATTGCAAAGCGCATTCTGACAATCTTTTGTTTTGCCTTGCTTTTTATTTTAATAAATCGATTATAGCATCGTAGGAGGCGGTTGCAAAATCGGCAAGCAAAAAATAGACCAAATCGGGAAGATCAAAGGGCAGAGGACAGAATAGCCCATGTCATCATCTCGACGATTACCCTGTGCTCTGAATGAAAAGTAAGAAGAATCTTGATTGTAGATCGATTACCGCAGTATTGTGGTTGACATTTTTTGCTTTACCTTTTTTGCCTTTTGTCGGTTTGCCTTTGAAGACATAAAACCTCTATTTTTAACCTTAACCACGATTTTGACTTTGATCTCGGACTGTAACGCTTTTTTTTGTCTGATTTTGGTTCTGATCCTATTTATCCTACTCGGTTTTTATATTTTAGTGCGTAGGCAGAGGGCTTCCAGAGTCAAGGCAATTTGAGTTAGCATGCATTTATAGGTCACCAAGATGAAATCTTTCAATGATCTGTTAAATTAAATTAAATAAATATATAAGTATTTAACTTAAACAAGATAGAGTTCCTCGACTATCAGATACGCGTTCCTCAGCTAGGGGAAGAAGTACAAACGAGAAATTTCAACATTTTCTGGAATATCGGTAGAAATTGGGGAAAAAGTAATAAAATGAAAAAAAATAAACTTCTACATCATAACATCAAAAAAATTACAAAAAAAATTTAAAAAGAATACATTTCTAAACTTAAATGCAGATTTTTAGAGAATTGCGCCAGAAACATTTAGAGGTATGCCACTTTAAGATCTGATTAAGATTTCTTAATTTGTTTGAGTTTCGTATAGTATGACATTAAAAAAAAAAA